TCTTAATTCCATCTTCTTCTGTGCAATTAATTTTATTGGTCAGCAGCAAATCAAAACGCTTCTTTGTCAAAATTCTCCTGCTAATTCAGAATCTACTGCAGTCAAAAGTCGTTAATCCAGACTCGTCGGGACTTCGGAGATTTCGTATTATCGATTTTTCCGGATTATAGATCATCAGTTTGAATCTCGAAAGATGGCATGCAGAAATTCTAAAATTAAAAATATGAAACCGTAATTTATGAAATAAAGAACAATTATGATCTAAAGGGTATCAAAATTTACAAAAAAAAGATTAATATTTATTTGTTTACTTTATTAAACATTTCTTTCAATGTAAGTTGTTTAAATTGCTTCGTTTTATGTGATAATACTTTCTCTTAATTCTATAAACAGACACATATTTTTGTTCAGTTACAAAGTTCCGCTGTTCAAGTCCGTTAATTTGCTGTGCCGAGAATACCAACTAACTTTCAATCAAAATTTTTTCGTTTTCACTAACCTCTCTGTCACATTCTTCATTCTTTTCTTTATCCATTTTTTGTAGCAATTCCACTTTTTGTTTGATGGACATCAAACATACTTTCGTTTTATACGATCCTTTGGGAGCTCTGGATTCGGAAATTCTTTTTGACATAATCGAAAGTTCAAGTTTACTTTTATAAAATTGCTCTTACAGTCTGCAAAAAATAATAAGCCGGATCCAATTTGAAGATTAAGGAACTACGCAATCATCAACATTAAATGAAATAGATAATTAGATAATTTTAGATTATACCGTCCGTTATACATAAAACGCGCACGCGAAAACATATTCTGCGCTTGTGCACACGCAAATGCGCAGTCGTAAGAGGTCTTACACGCACGCATAAATGCCTATGCGCATGTGTCAATGCGGCGCATGCGCAGAAAGTTTTTAGCTTTGAGGTCCGGATTATAGATCATTCCGGATTATGGGTGTCCGAATTAATGACTTTTGACTGTACTATGCAGAAATTGAAAGCCACCTGTAGTCCTTACTTGAAAATGTTAGAAAAATGCTGATTAAAGTACGGTGGTAATAAAAATGGAAGAAAATATTTGTTACACTATCGAAAAATTGGTCAGAAAAGAACCAGATATTATCTAATGGTCTAGCATTCAGCTCAAGGACAGAAAAAAATAGTCATTATCATTGGAAATTCTATTTGACATAATCGAAAGTTCAAGTTTACTTTTATAGTATTGCTCTTACAGTGTGCAAAAAATAATAAGTTGGATCCAATTCGAAAATTAAGGAACAACGCAATCATCAACATTAACTGAAATAGATAATTTGATAATTTTAGCTTATACCGTCCGTTATACATAAAACGCGCACGCAGAAACGTATTCTGCGCTTGCGCACTCGCAAATGCGCAGTTGTAAGAGGTCTTATGTGCACGCGTAAACGCCTATGCGCATGTGTCTACGCGGCGCATGCGCAGAAAGTTTTTAACTTTGAGGTCAGGATTATAGATCATTCCGGATTATGGGTGTCCGAATTAACGACTTTTGACTGTATAAGGGTGCATGTTTGTTCAGAACTTTTAACATAATTTTGAATGATTTAATTTTAGAAATTTACGAGCTGAAAATGATTGTGCAAACCTAAAATGATGGAGGAATTGTTCATGGTTTTTTTTAGGTGTTTTGTGAGACATTCTTGTAGTTATGTGAGTAATGTCTGGATTATAAATTCTTGCCATGCTTAATCCTCAGTATGTCCTTTGTGTATGTTTTCCATTGTAGTAATAATGCAATTTTGAAAGAGAGTAAAGTAAATCAGTGAAGAGGTCTTGAATGCACCTTAAATATATTCTTCTTAAAAGAAGTCAGCTGCGTTAGAACTTTCCAAACTTTAGATTTTTTGCTCTGATGTTGGAGACTAGCTGTGAAATATGAAATCATTGCATCAGTGCAACCAAATCAACTCCGAGGAAGCATTTCATCTAAATAAAATATTCATTCTAGAAAATTTCATCTAAATAAATATGAAAAGAGACTGCAACTGATTTCCTAATTATTGATGATTTAATAGAAAAAGACTAATTCCCTTTGAAAAGTCAGTCTTATTACATGGAATCAACAATAATTTATTTCATTTTATTTTGCCGTTATATTTTTCATTTTTTAAGATGGCATATTTGCTGGATGATACAGTCAAAAGTCGTTAATTCGGACACCCATAATCCGGAATGATCTATAATCCGGACCTCAAAGCTACAAACTTTCTGCGCATGCGTCGCGTTCACGCATGCGCACAGGCGTTTACGAGAGCGCGTAAGACCCTTACGGCTGCGAATATGTTTGTGCGCATGCGCGTTTAAATTGTAACGGAGTTACACGCTAAGTTATCTAATTCAGTTAATGTTGCCGATTGCGTTGTTCCTTAATCTTCAAATTGGATCCGGCTTATTTTTTTTGCAGACTGTTAGAGCAATTTTTATAAAAGTAAGCTTGAACTTTCGATTATGTCAAATAGAATTTCCGATATATATTTACTACAAAGCGAAAGTATGTTTTTGAAATCCGAATTCTGTTTATCAATTTCACACTGCTCTGCGGCAGAGGGGGGGGGGGGCAGAAAGAAACGTCATTATTAGATTATGATGATTAGAAAGATTATGTCAAATAGAATTTCCGATATATATTTACTAATATGTAATTTGTATCTACAAAGCGAAAGTATGTTTTGAGATCCGAATCTGTTATCAATTTCACGCTGCGGATTGGAAGTTGATCTGTCAGCACTATCCTTATCTTCAGGCAGATGTTTTTATTTTATTTGGTTTATAATTCCTTACTAAGTGTAGTATTTCATCTCGATGTCTTTGATATGATTTAAATCAAGTTCCTCGTCAGTCATTATAATTCGCTTCGATAGTGAAGAAAGTGACCCAGAGGTTTTGAAAACGAAAACATTTCGATTGACAAATTAGTCCGTATTCTCAACACAGCAATTATAGGACTTGAACAGCGGAACTTTGTAACTAAACAAGAAATTATGTCTGTTTATAGAATTAAAGAGAAAGTATTATCACATGAAACGAAGCAACTTACATTGAAGGAAATGTTTAATAAAGTAAACAAATAAATATTAAGCTTTTTTTTTTGTAAATTTTGATACCCTTTAGATCATAATTGTTCTTTATTTCATAAATTACGGTTTCATATTTTTAAATTTTGTAATTTTGCATGCCATCTTACCAGATTTAAACTGATGATCTATAATCCGAAAAATCGATAATCCGGAATCGCCGAAGTCCCGACGAGTCCGGATTAACGACTTTTGACTGTATTAAGATGGCATATTTGCTGGAATTGACTTTCAAATGCTTTAAGCAGATGTTGGGTGAATATGTAATATCAGTGAAACAATGATGTCAAAATCTAAAAAACTGTGAAACATCACAAGACATACATTCCCCTCCCCCAAATATTATAAAACCTTAAAATTTGCTTTTCTTTTATATAGTTAATGCAAATTTTTGTCATCTGAAATCAAGTTAAAACATTTTGAACAAATTGGGATATTGATCCCTTATTCGGCTCATGTTATTCAAGTTCATCTAGATTTGTTAAAATGTTTGGATATTGCTGTATACTTTCATAGACTAATTTGAAAATGTGAAGCCGGCCATATTCTGCGCTTGCGCACATGCATATGCGCAGACGTAAAAGGTCTTATGTGCTCGTGTAAACGCCTATGCGCATGTGTCAATGCGGCGCATGCGCAGGAAGTTTTTAGCTTTGAGGTTCGGATTATAGATCATTCCGGATTATGGGTGTCCGAATTAACGACTTTTGACTGTAATAGCAAGCCTAGAATTAGTTGCCAAATCAAATTCTGTGTACATCTAATATTGCAACCTTTAGCATTCTCATCACATTGTTTCAACTATACTTCCTTTTTGAATAGAAAAATATCTTCTTAAAGAAACCATTGCAGAAATACAACAAATATAAGTAGAATTTAATTTTTGGCCCTTGTAATTTTTTGAATGTTATACCAGACACTATAAAATTATATTACAATTTATTAATAATTAGGTAGTCTATAGTAAACATGTAAATAATTATATAGTCTGTAGTAATATTTTGTTAATCTTTAATAAACCATATTTATGTAATTTTTGTTTCAATGTTTTACTTACGAAATTTTTTTAACAATTACTATTTACTGATGTTTTGCCCAGCAAACGGGGTTTTTCTCAAGTTTATTTATGTCAGATCACATTAGTGAATTGCTTACATGCATTTGAAAACAAATTGATTTAAAATCAAATTGAAATATTTTTTGCATTTTTATTGCATTTTTGAGTAAAATTTCATCTAAATAAATATGAAAAGAGACTGCAACTGATTTCCTAATTATTGATGATTTAATAGAGAAAGACTAATTCCCTTTGAAAAGTCAGTCTTATTACATGGAATCAACAATAATTTATTTCATTTTATTTTGCCGTTATATTTTTCATTTTTTATAGTTCATTATAATAAGTTAGTATCCATATTACAATAGTGTTTGCTCTTCAGTTCTAAGGAGATAATCAACATCAGTAATTAAAGTTTATATATATATTAATTTAGTTACATATCAGGATGAACTTTTCTTGCTTCTCTTTGATATCTAGTTAATTCCTGTTCAGAAAAGGATACTTATTTTTAAAATTACATGCTTTATGATAAATGAATTCTTTTAGATGTTTGCTGCATGTTGCTTGTACTACTGGCTTTCATTCTTAGTTTACAGTTTGGTTTATAATCTATATAAAATTGTGCAACAGAGTATAACTATCCAAATGTTAGTAGTACATTTTACAGTTTAAAATAATGTAAAGTTCTAGTATATATATATTAAATTTCATCTTTGGATATTCTTCTACAGTTATTGTTCTTGTGATTATATATTATTCATTATAATTTCCATCTGAAATATTACTTTGAAATATAAAATGGTTTTTTAATTTATCATTTAATAGGTCCAACTCCATGTGATAAAGATAATGGTGGATGCTCGCATCTCTGTTTATTGTCTTCCATTAAACCTTTTTATACTTGTGCATGTCCTACTGGGGTTCGTTTGACTGATGATAATAAAACTTGTTTAGATGGTTTGTTTTCTTTTATTTATATTGTTATTATATCATGGTTTATTTAGTCTTAGTTATTTGGTGAAATATTTATGCACCTGTCATATAATCATCCAAATCAGAACTTTGTATTAGTTTTTTGTTGTAATAATTTATTTTTATTTCAAATGTTCTATGAATAGTAACAACAATAGAGCATGGCTGAAGTAAAAATTTTCATAATTCATTACATGGTAGAATGTGAAATAGGAACATGAAAACACTCTTAAGTTTTAAGAACATGTAAAATGCAAAATCATTTTAATCACTAATATACAGTAAATATTGTTTAATATTTACAAGAATTGTTCAAATGAATGAAAAAAATGCACCGTAATGATAGCAGAAATGATTGATCTGCTGTTTGGAAGATTCCTGGCATTTCAAACTAATTTTAGTAACAGACACATCAGATGAGTTAATGTGTGTCATTTAAGATGCCCCTAGAGAGGGGGGGGGGATGATGCAGGAGAGATCCAGAAGTCTCAGGTCTAAAGGATGGTTTTACTGTGTCCTTTTATACACAGTAAGATCCCTCTTGACAGTAAGGTCCCTTTTGAGGAAAACCACTTGCTTTCAAACCAGACATTGTATATTTATGTATTTTATTTCACCTTTTGAACTGCATCTAATATGTATGTAGATAAGGCATGCTAATGAATATTACAAATAGGAATTAATTTGTGATTCGAAGGTGCACCAGAAGTATTACAGAACTTTAACTAACATATCTAAAATATAATTTTATACATTTAAAAAGAAATTTTGATAATTTTCATTTCTGTCATAGCAAAACAGATGCAATAGCATAAATATCAGAGTTATACAGTTTGTGATTAAAATTAATGTGGGCTAGATTAAAAATAAATATGCTTATTAATTTCAAAAGCTTCATTCAGTTCAGCAGCATTTCAGTTGGTGAAACAAATTTTGAGTTCATTTCTGAAATATCTGCCTCTTTGTATTCTGTTTATCTCCTAAACATCTAGTGACTTTTAGATGGTATTTAATTATTTTGGGAGAGCAAAAATTAGAAGAGAATAGAACTGGCAGAATGTTATTTGTACTTTTGGAATTTGTTACTTCACAGGAGAGTGGTGCATAAGTTATGAATGGATATGTATGTGTAAATTCCCACCCTTATGCAATACCAGCTTGTTAAAATTAATTATCACTGAGATAAGTGCCCTCAAGCTCGATAGTAAATTGTTTTTCTGGTTCGAGAGTGTGTATTCATGATATACAATTCCTATATAATTGTGTGTGTGGGGGTCTCTTGACAGTGCCTCAGATTGTTTTAGAGTCATTTTAAAGTTATGCCAGCTTTTTAAAATGGACTGTGCCACTGTAAATGCTACACAATTAGGTAGTAATGTTTTTTTGTTTACTGTGTGACATAAAGGTTTGTATTTATAATGCAGAATTCCCATATCGTTGGAAAGGAGAAGCTTGACATTATTTTAATTCTATTTTGCTTTTTTACATTGCTAACAGATTTCAGAATCTTCTGCCATTAAGTTTGATTAAGTCTTGTTTTAGGATCAGTGTTATAAACTCATCATTTAACTAACTGGTATGGTCATTTTGAATTTTTTATTATTATCAATATGCTCAATAGTTTTTTCGACAGTTGTGTGATACTTTATTGGAATACTGCCCTTTTTCTGAATGCTAGTTGAGAGCAATTTTGACACAACTTAGGTTGCAGTGCATTTTCTACCTAAAGTATTTGCAAGAATCAACTGAATTGAACTGAAACTGGTGTCCAGGTTTCCAGTAACTTGCAAATTATGGGCAGGTTTGATGTTCTTAGTTGTGCTTTTATAGCTACTCAGATATTCTATTTATTATGCTGCTGTTTCTCAAATATTGATGGTAACTCATAAACATTTATATAACTCATAATGTCCTTTACATCCACCAGCGGCCAAGCGGTAAAGTCGTTAAAAGCTTGCAGTTCCAACATGGGTATGATTCCAGGCCAACTGGCTGACTGCATGTGCGTTTTAATGGTTTTTCCCATGTGTAACATATATACGAGCCAGTTTCTCATAGAAAGTCCTCCACAAAGGCATCCCTCCCTTCAGGCAGATAGCCCTTGTGTGCTTTGTCAAAATTAAACAAACTAAACCATACTGCCGTTTAAATGGATTTGCTGTAACTTAAATGATTTATTTTTTCGTATGTCCTTTTTTGGCAAAATCAGGTAAAGATGTGTTGATCAGTTTCCACTGACATACCATATATGGCAAATGGTTTCTTACATGTATGATTGGTATTACCTATTTAATTAGAAAAATACGTGGGGATTATCTGCCTATACTTCATCCCAGTTTTAAACAAAAGTTTTCTAGGGAAAGGAAATGAAAGTTCTCTTACTTCTTGTTTAATCCTATGGTTTAGAGAGGACTTCAGATAAACAGATTTTAAATGCCATGTTCCCTCCTAGCCACTGCAGCCGCATATACCCATGCCCGATCGGGGATTTGAACTTTAGTCAAACAAACAGGAGAAATTCCTGTCTATTAACCGCCATAATGCCATTTCCTAATATAGAAACAAAACACTCATGTAAGAGCAGGTGATATGCAATTTATGACTTATACATGATGTATTAAAATGTCAACTTGTGCTTATGCCTCTCGCCCCTCTGGCTTTGCTTTACAGTTTTTTTTTTTTTTTTTTTTTTTTTAAATTTTGCCATCATTCTGGGAACTTTCTGTTTGCACTTTTGAATTTTTATTCTGGTATTCTTTGCATAACAATATCATTTTTATCTAAATGTACGTGAAAGCAGATTGATAATATCCTGGAACTAAAAAAAATAAAAATCATTAGTAGCATCCCAATTAATTAATACTTACCTTAGATATAAATACACTTATGAAGTTGTGCTGACAAATATTGTTAAAAAATCCTAATAAAACAATTATCAAATATCCTAAAATGTAAGTTGAAAAGTATTAACAATAATTTACATTCTGTATCACCCTAAATATAAAATTACTCAGTATTTGATATTTTCTGGTGTTATTAAATGTTACGTAGCTGCTGTTGTTAATAGGGTTGATGCAGACAGGTATTATTTTTAATTTAATTGATAATGCATTTTAAGCGTCAACAAATAGTTGATTAAATAGGTTCAATTTAAGAAATGCTTTCAGTGATAAATGCAACGTTTTATGCTAGTTAAATGTTTCATATTAGATTTAGGTAATGCTTCTGATTTACTGGGCTTTAAATAAATTATGATTAGTTAATGACAGTGTATAACATTTTTAATTCTTTTCATCTTTACTTTTTAAGAAAAACAAACCTTGATTATGTTTAGGCCCTCAAGAATTGCTTTTGCTTGTGAGGAGAACAGATTTACGAAGAATTTCCTTAGATACACCGGATTACACTGATGTTGTTTTAGAATTGGAAAATATTAAACATGCTATTGCTGTAGATTATGATCCAGTAGAAAAGCATATTTATTGGACAGATGATGAGGCAAGAGCTATTCGAAAGGCTTCTTTAAATGGGACTGGTGAGTGTTTTTTCCCACCATAATGTAAATATTGATTTTATATATTGTTGCATATGTGTAAATATTCTATAACTATTATGTGTAACTCCTTGTTTAATTAATGAATATTCTATTGGGTTGTTCAGAAAGTATTTTTTTTTATGAAAATGGAAGATTATCTTATTGAATTATATATTGTTTATTCTGGTCCAATACCTTTTGCCATCTTTCTGGCATTAGCATGATTCCATGCTTATAATTTTTTTTTTTCTTTGCTGGTGAAAAACTGATCCAGGTGATTTTTGTCCTCCTCATTTGAAGTAAAAGTTTTACCGTCTAAAAATATTGTAGAGACTGGAACAAATAATAATCAGAAGATGCCAAATCTGAAAAATATGGTGGGTGTGGCAGTACATCCTAACTTAGCCGTAAAAGCTATTGGCATGTTACCAAACTTGGATGAGGACTCGCATTATCTTGGTGGAACCAACACCCTTTTCTATTGATCAATTCTGTTTAAGTGATTCATTCAATTTGTTTAGCTGTTGACAGTGCACTTCAGAATTCATTGTTGCATTGCCCAGTAGAAGCAAAAAAGAAAAAAGGGAGGTGTTCCTTTGAAATTCCATCAGATAGCATCATATTTTTTAATGAATATAGCCTTTCGAAGTGCTTTGAGATCTCGTACAATTTAAGTTTGACTGTCAGTAGATTCTGAGTTTATTGAAAGAGGTAGTCTGATTCCAATGAATTAATCACAGATTATTTTCATTAATTTACATGTAATAATCACATTGCTAAACCAGAACATTTTATAATTTTATTAGTTTTATAAAAATTATGTATCTGAAAGCAGTTCTGCATTGCCTTTAAGTAAGTTATTTTCTAAGCTACCTTCAGCGTCATGGTCCACCGTCTAACATGTGAGATAAAACTTAAGTAAGTTGTATACGGGAAAAAAAAAAAAAAAAAAAAAAAAAAAAAAACCATTTATTTTTAAAATTATTTTAGAAATACTGTCAATGTTATATTAAAACTGTTGCTTTTTATTGACCCAAAACAGTGCTGTTATCAACATTTATAGTAAAGGCATCCATTTCCTTAATGCAGGAAAAAGTATTTAATAAATTATTTTTCACAGCGAATCAGCTTATTTCTTAGCACATGAAGTTATACCCTCAGCCTATAAGGCACAGGCTGATTATACAGCACATTTTAGAGTAAAAAAAGTGCATCTGTGTGCTGGGGGAATATGGTATATTTCCTTTAATAGTAAATCCTTGTGTATTTGCTGTAATTAATTTATCTACTTGATTTAACTACTTAAAATTCATTATTGTTTGTGATAACAATTATGAACCGTTACATATTTTTATGATACCACAATCTTTATTAAATCGTGTTCATTGTGGTAACTTAATATTTGTTGAAGGAAAAAGTTAGGAATATAAAGTACCTTTATTGTAGTAATTTATTTCATCTGTATTATTGCTAAAAACTTTGAATTTTGTATGAATTCTGTGTAATAATAAATGTATAATTCTTTGTATAGATACATAAATTTAATATATCTGAAAATACTTAAAAAAACACAAATCTTTAAAATAGGTCAGACAGATCTTATAACTACAGAAGTTCACCTTCCTGATGGAATAGCTGTAGACTGGATTGCACGTAATATGTACTGGACGGATACTGGTACCGATCGAATTGAGGTTGCAAGGTTGAATGGTTCCTCGAGGAAAATTTTAATAACTGAAAATTTGGATGAACCCAGAGCCATTGTTCTTGATCCTCCTGAAGGGTAAGGTTTCAGTTTACCCATAGAAATACAGTAATTTAATATATATTTGCAGATTTTTTAGAGAGGTTGTTTTTAGCTAACAAATATTCTGTTGATAAATTCATTTCAGAAATATGAGGTATTTGATACTGTAGGACTTTGATAACAAACAGATATTATTCTTTTGAATAAAATTTCAGAATTCAAATTGTAACGAATGCACAACTATTATCAAAACCATTTTGTATGAGCGTTTGGTGATAATTAATTTGTTACACATGGAGCAGGTAAAATGTAGCATTTTCTGTATGAATGGAAGAGTTTATTTATGGGACTCAAATGTGAAATATTCAATTATTCTTTAAATAATGGAGTTTTGTATATTGGATTATTTTCAGCCTGTTTGAAAAGGATTTAACTTTTGTTCAGTTATCGATGAGTCATTACTAACCAAAGTTCTTGCATTATTAACTTTTTTATAGGTTACGAATCTCATTGCAGAGGCATTAATTTTTTTTTGTAAACCAGGTAACAGATGATTGTTTAATAAATATTTAGTGCTGTTTTGATGCTTACAGACTGTAAATCTGAAATTAAAGTTTAGCAGAAGTATTTTATGATTTTTCCCCCCTTCATTCATGTATTGAATTTTATACATAAGTTTTGCCTTTAATGAGCATTTGGAATAATTCTCTTAAGATTATTTAGAAAATGTCTATGGTATAGTACGTTCAGCATATTGCGTTTGGTAAACAACTTAAATGAGTTTTAATTGAGATTAGCATATTTTCAAGTGCTAAAGGTTTATATATGTTCATAATAGTTTTCTGGACTGTATCTTTCAAAATGAATCTGTTTCATGCTTGCTACGTAATCATCCTGCAATGTGACGACTCTTATCTAATCATAGAGCAAAATTTCAACAGAGAACCAAGCCTAGAAATTTTTTACTAAATGTGCAGCCCCTCTTTCCTCTTGCTTTGCTAGCAGGCTTCACTGTGTTCTGTATGTTATCCATTGCAAAGCAGATGTCATCAGTTATATAAACTTCATTATTATACAGCTATCTTCTAATCCTCAAATTAACTATAGAAATTATTACAGTGTGAATCAGACATGATAAGAGTGCCATGTCAATTGTGAGGCCGCAAATGTCAATTGCAATAAAAAGGAACCTGTCTTGGCTGCCAAGTTTGTTGTTCATTACATGTAAATCATCAATATTTTCTACAATGTTGCATGCACATATGCAAGATATAACAAAATACGATGGATGCTTTAAAAATAATTGGCGACCTCAAAATTAACTATTCAATTTTTGGTGCTCTCCCTCTAAATTCCTCTGTTCTCCCAAATTCGAGATCTTTCTATGTTATGTAACACTACTTGAAGAGGGTAACCAAAATTAATATTAACCAATCATAGCTTATCTCTACAATTGTACCTACTTTGGTATAAATACCACTGGCGAGTTAATTACGCCATTCTTCCTATCCCTAACTGCTGCTCTGCCAATACCATGCTATTTTGCTTCTCAAATGCCGACATCATTTCTTTTAAAAAAAACCAATTACGTAGAAATTTATCATATTTAATTATGATTGAATAAGTGTCTGCCAAACTACACTCTTTTGCAAATAAATGAAAGCACCATGAAGGAAGTGGTTGTTTTTGATGAAATTGAATATGTGTATAGCTCATACACAGATAATAAAATGATTAAAAAATCTGGGTCATGGTACCTGTTCACCCATTGAGTGTTCAAATTAGTAGTTGGTTCAACTGCCCCTGGTGGCAATGCATGCTTGAATTCGTCGAGGCAAGAAGTGAAAGTATTATGAAGAGACTGTTGTGAATTGGTACTGGCTAGTGGCTTAGAATAATGGCTTCTGACTGATGTGCAAGGTTTTCGTTGATTGTTCTGTGTATGAAGTGTAATATGAACTGATATTTAGCATGATTGAGAAAGTGACTCTACTGTACAATATTAAAAACTGTTAGTAACAGTATTAAAAACTGTTAGTGACAAACAATATTAAAAACTGTTAGTGACTGTGTTAAGACAAGTTACATTAATTCATATGCAGCCTGATCCTCTCATGTTATCCTTCAGCATTGCATAAGCTTGTTTTAATTTCCTGATTCCCTAAGTCTGCTCATGTAAGTAACCCTTCACTATTTATTCAGTAGTTTAGGACAAAGTCTTTAATTGTATGCAGATTGTGACTTGGATATGTTTTAATATGTTTATGTGGTGCTTAGGGACTTGTATAAGAAATTAATATTATTTATTTTCTTTTCAGCTCAATGTATTGGACAGATTGGGGTGTTAAACCCAAAATAGAAAAAGCAGCACTAGATGGAAGTCAAAGGAAAGTTCTAGTAAATACAGGTTTAGGATGGCCGAATGGCTTGTCTTTGGATTACAAAGAGAAAAAATTATATTGGGGAGATGCTAAAACTGACAAAATTGAAGTTTCAAATTTAGATGGAAGTGATCGTAGGGAATTAGTTTCTGATCACATACCTCACATTTTTGGCTTTACATTGCTTGGTAAGTATTCTTCTGAACTGAAATGCGTATTTCTTATTATTTTCCTTGAATATTTTTTTGTTCAAGAGGTAAATAGTAGGAAGTCTTTAGGAAGTTGAAAGTTTGTATTTTTAATTTTAAATTTACTCTCAAACTGTTTTAGATAATAACTGTTGGTATTTCATCAGGGCGAATTGCTAGGCAGTCTTTTTTGTTTATCTTCATTGTTTCAGTTTATAAGTTATTATTCAGTAAGCAATTGATTTTGCTTGCGTGCTAAGCTTCTTTTATTGAAAGAAGCAATTCAAAGTTAAAATCACGTGCTTTTCTTGTACAAGTTCTAAAATGTATTTGAAACATTAATATGGCATTTGAATTAAACATAAGTAGTGTATGTGATGTACAGTAGAGCCTTGATTGTCCAAACTGCTTAGGACAGGGCTAATTCAGGTTATAGATTTATTTAGGTAATTGATTTTAAGCTTCTACAAAAACATTGGCCCACAACTTGTACTCCACTTTGGACAATAAGCTTGAGTGTAGTGACAAAGCAACTTATTGACGGTTGGTTCATCCAGTCCTGATCTGTCTTGAGGAAATTATCGGACCATTGAAGAAAAAATGATTCAAAATTACTCTTTCAAGAAAATAGTTCTTATTTATTATTATAACGTTGCTTATTTTTTAAAAATTCAAACTTTCACGTAAGAATTAAGTATTTTAGTTGGACATCAAATTATAATTTTCAACAAAATGTGCATTTATTTTATTTACAGTGCAAAGTATAAAATCCAGATATTAATGATATGACATATTGAATAATCTATTATATGGACCTCCCACGTTATATATATATATATTATATATAAATCGCCCTCCCTTTTTTTAGAAAATTTCTTTTTTTTACACAATCTAGGAACAGAGAATATAGTATTCAAGAAAAAGCAAGAGCATCTAAAATTGGATTTTTCTTCCATTTAACTGAAACTTCTTTTGCTCAGAAACATTATTATCTGCATTTGTGCTAAATTACTGCATATTGTATTGTCTTTAAGCATCTACATGCTTGTGAACCACATTTTCATTTCTGGCTCTTGAGTTGTTAAATGTGTGTTGGGAGGGGGTAGTAGTTTTCTAGCTTATCCAGCTTTGTATACCATAAGTGAAGTCCAAAGACTCATATTTGTTAGGAGTGGAATGTTGAAAATTCTGATTTTCCTTTGTTGGTATAGTTAGAAAGAAGAGATAAAGTATTAGATTCTATTGAATTTAAGCTCAGCTAGCATTGTGTATTTCAGTCTTGCTTAAGTTATTTGACATAGTTGATTATTTATTTCAGTCTGTTGTTATTAATCTTATCAAAATTACAGTTTTAGTAAACTATAAAATCTCAGTTTTATTTTCCACTCCAAACTGTACATCCATCACTCAGCCAATTTATTACAGAACTTCAAATGCACTGAAATGCAGCTTTAAATAAATCTTTTTTTAAAACCAGTGCAGAAACAAGGCCATCCAGGAATGCTTGAAATATTTTAGTATAAAATCTGCTATGTGGAGTATTGCAGCATTAAAATAGGACATGTCTGCAGATATATTTTTTTTTAATGCTGGCATAATTTATAGCCAGTTACTAAGTTTCAAGATGATGACCACATATTCGAAAATTTTGGAATATTGCAAGTAAAAAGAAAACTTTTTCAATAAATGGAGAAGTACTAATGTTGATTTAGTGATATAAGCCTTTCACTGTACTGGCAGTCCCCCTATCATCAATAAATAGATGCAGCAATAAAATCTATAGTATGAATTTAAATCTAGAAAACACTGTGATATTTTAATTGTGTAAGATGATTATTCAAACATAACCTTTCTTTGTGCAGAATCATCTCCATGCAAAATCACTTGTGTGGGGGGGAGAACCTATTCTTAGACGACGGAAAAATATGTGGTTGTGTCATAAAGAAGCATAACCAAATGGTGATGCCTGCTGCCATGACTGCATAATAAAATTTGAAATATGCAGTTGAATTTTGACTTTAAAATATGTACCAAAAAAAGCGTAAAAGTGGTGGTGCTTTAAAATAACGACAAAATTTTCTGATTAATGGAATATGTGTTCAAAATGCAAATAATGCTGAATAGAGATTATATAATTAAAGTCTTCATTGCCACAACAATGTCCTAGTCATTAGTTGTTATATGATTTTTAAGTCTAAAAATATCATGACTAATAAAGAAAATGACATTCATACTGTTGAGACTAAAAAGATTTCATTTGACTATTTAATGGAATTTCTCTACCGAACAGTTACAAACAAAGATGTTGAAAGGGAAAAGATTTTATTTGACTATTTAGTGGACAGAACAGTTACAGGACTATAACAGTAGATCTTTGTAACTAAACAAGAAATTATATTGATATTTTTTGGAAATTTTTATTTTCTTGAAAAGTTACAAAAATGCTTCATTATTTTTGCAAACAACCATACCAGAATTTATAGATGCTATTTTATTAATCTTAAGTTCGGGATTTGAAATCCTTAAATATATGAAACACGAAATCGACTGAGCATCAGTGATTTCAGATCTCAGATTTTGTACAATATGCATACTTAAATTTGTAATCTTTCATTTATTCTGCTGATTAAGATATGTTCTGTGCAGCAATCTTTTGAAAATGCTTTAATTCCCTTAGCAGCTTTCTTGTAACTGCTTATTTCTTGGCTTGAGTAGTAAAAATTTCAAAGGAATGGAAATTCCTGCAACTGTAAGAATTTGAGTGTTATGCATATTATCATTTTATTACAGAATTTTTTCCCTTGGCTTCACTTTTGTTTCATTTAATGGCAGCTATTATTAATATATTATGAATAAATTAGTAAAAATCAGAGTTTTATTTTTCCATTGCCTTTCATGTTTGAAACCTTAAATTTAAAAATTTGTTTAATTAATTCATTACCACATGCTCCAATTCTTTATCCATATCATAGTCATTTAAAATTAGTGGGGAAACTATCTTAGATTGCCTTCGGTAGTTTCAAATAAAATTCTTTTGACTTGGCAGTTGATATACGATTGCCCTCTAAATGATTAGAGTTTTAAAGGTTTTTTTGCCTAATTTAATGTTTGTTTTTCTCTTATATCATAGTTATTTGTTGTTTTGTCAGTATAATTCCTTGGCATTGTTGTTCTACCTAATTTAAAAGTTTGGTAATATTCTTAAATGAAAACACACTTGTTTTGTGTTTAGATGCCATAATGAAGATGTTGCAGTTACAAAATAAGATTTTTCTTTTCTATTTTTTTCAAAATAAATTGTTTGGAGTAAGAATAACGTAGGGGCAAAGTTCAAGTCAAAGTAGACATCAAAGCACTGAATCATGAATATTAGTGGGAAACAGTAAGAAGAGTCAAGAAATTTTGCTCACTACTTCTGTACTGATATTTCTGAGAAACATTTTTGTTAGATACCCAAATTTAACAGTTTGAGTCATTGAGATTTTAGCAGAAACTTTTTTCCCTGAAAATGATGGGATAATGATAATAATGAGGGGGATTTTTTACCTAGATCAGAGTGAAGTTAATGATAAAAAAAATTAAACAAGTGCTTATGGAAGTGTTGAAATGTATAATTTAAAATTCCGTTGTGAGAATGTTTCTGGTTAATCCAACTGATATCATAAAGCACTGTATTCCATTAGCTGTATTAATAGATTCTGAAGTGTGTGTGCATTATAAATATGCACTTTTTTAAGCAAAAAGAAGCCTTTTATTCAAGTATAATATAAGCTTTATTTAACTATCTAAATAAAAGTATACTCAAACCAAACTGAAAAGCATGCTAGTTTGGTATGTGTTGACGTGCATTCATGAACTTAATTTGGTATTTATTAGATACCCCTTTTTTATAACTCTGTTACATTCTTGCAATACTATGTTAACCTGCATATCCACACTAATTCTAACTAAAGCTGTGTTATTCTGATATTCAGTCTGGATGTATTTTTATTTGGAACACCATGTGTGTATAGTTATTCATTGAAGTTCTGGTGAAAAAATATTAGGAGTTATTAAATTTGAATTTTTTCTTTATAGCTGTTTGTAACATTGTGGTGAATTTTCAGCTGCTATTGTTTATCCTATTAACTTAGATGAAATTGTGATTTCTGAAAAATACTTCATAGAACATTCAAATGTACAGAGATGAAGATCATAGCACCGATTGGCAGTAATTATGAAAGCTCCATATGGCACATACAGTGGATGAACAAAAATATGGAAACACCTTGTGAAATGCATGTTTGAAAAGAAAGATTGATTTTAATGAAATATGTAGGTGGCGCTGGCGTTTTTGACTATGACGCCACCTATACAACTTCGTAAATGGCTAAAACGTTCAGTTGTTGTCGAGTACTGTTATGTGAGGTTGTCATTGCATTATGTCAGAGTTAACAGACTTCGAACGTGGCAATTGTGGAGCAGTTGTGGTCTCTGTCGCAAGGGTACCGAGGTGTTTAGTGTTTCAAGAGGTATGTATCGAAGATAATTCCGCATATTTAAAAGGAAAAACATCATTGCTAAATACCATCGGACGAAAGGTGTCCGAGTATCGTGAAGACGATCATAAGGGCAATAGGACGAAAAAAGAAGACAATAGCTGCAAAAGTTATGCTGAATGACGTGTGTTCCCGAACCTGTGAGTACCAAACAATCGAAGGGCTTCATAAACAGGGAATTGCTGGCCTGCTGCAATTGAGAACCACTCATCAACGAGCTAATGCCGTAACGGAAAAGGGGTGTTTATCATCAAGCCTGGACTATAGAGCAGGAAGTAAAGTACTATGGTTGATGGTCTCTTTCACATTGTTTCCCACTTTGGCCGTTTTACGTCTGGAACGCCATTCAAACCTAAATACGACTGCTTGCCAAGAGGAAACATGGCGGGGTTCTGTTATGATTTGGGCACCATATGGGTTCTCTGCTAGCCCATGATAACTGTTCGGCACTGCTGCCAAGATTGTGCACAGTTGGCCTCAAATTCAGCCTGTAAAACTTGTTCCCCGATGGTGATGGTGTCTTCCAAGACGACAAGCCCCTGTTCACAGCCAATGTCAGGACTGTTTTTGACACGAGGATGAGTGTCCCATCTCCCCGGCCACCACAGTCACCAACCTGAATATTCAACTTTTGGTCTAATTGGAACGGAAAGTGAGTTCTCGTTATCCACCGCCAACATCATTATCTGAACTTCGACCGTTTTGCAGGAAGAATGGTATATATTCCTTTGGAAATACAGGACGTATTATCATTCAGAGAAGACTGCAAGTGTTTTGATGCAACGGTTCCTACACATATTACCAAAGAAACAGTTTTTAAAGGGTTTCCATATTTTTGTCCAACCCCTGTATCTTTGAGTCTAGCAGTGACCTATAACTTCAACGTTACTATGGGGATATTATTTTCCATTATTTATTGTATGGGTTATCCTGAATTATGCTCATTTCAGCATTTTATATAAGTAGGTTGGGGTGCAATTAAAAATGTCATTAAAAAATCAATGTATCAACGTTTCAAAGTTTTGTATTAGAGGCATAAATGCATGAATTTTAACCCCTTAACTGCCGCGGGCGTATATACGCTTGCTCAGCCGATGGTTAACTGCCCCAGGCGTATATATATCCTTCCAAATGCTATCATTTGCTTGCGCTGTACACCTAAATATTCGCAAATTAACCATCGGCTGCGCTCTGGGGCAGTTCACCTGAGCAAGGCGTATATATACGCCCGCGGCAGTTAAGGGGTTAATTTGATTAGTTAAATGTTATGCATTATGCTTATTTTGATCCAAAAGTTTAATTTTTCTTTTTATAAACAGTTTCAGATGAAATTGTGTTGATTGCGATTGAAATTATATACAAATAGGATAGAATTCTCAGTTTGCTATGTAAATGCATTCTTTCTGAATGGATTGAAGATCATAGAGCTTTCCATCTTTTGTGATAAATTGAGAAGTTTCTCTGGTTCTTGTCACATCTCCTAATAAATCTCCATATGTCCAAATTTTTATTTTGTGTGAATTTAGTTCATCGTTTTCAAATATAGTTTTAGAAAAAATATATAACTTTAAGAATCTGAGTGAAGGGAAATACTTTGAGAAAATTTTTTATGAAAGATTCTTAAAGAGAGTTATTTTCAGTATTATTTCCATGATTGATTAATTTTCGATCTGAGAGACTGTTTTAATATATTATACAGGATAATAGAGCATTTTATAAAGACCTAACTAATGTTTAATAAGGGTATATTCGTATGTAGTTTTGTTCTAAATTTGTAAATGATATATGATTAAGCTCATGTATGCACGCTAATTATTAATTTAATTTTCTTTGGTTTAAAAAATGCTTTTAAATAAAACTTCAGAAGTCATCATTTAAAATTTTCAAAAAACAAAAAACAAATTACTTAAAAACAAAGTGAAATTAAAATTTTATAATAATAAATTCAGATATTAAGTTCATGCATTTCAAAATCAAAATTATGTTTAATAATATGCATAGTAAAGTGACTCTAAATCAAATTTATCAATTTCTACTCTTTTGAAATTGTGTTTTAAATTTGGGGAAGGGGTTCAGGTTTTCCATATTGATATGTTGGCAGCTATGAAATCATAAACCTTGGTGAATTTATGCACTTGGCTTTATCATTTCAAACAAGGCATAAAATGTAGTAAGAGTTATAAAACATTTTTTATATAAGTTGTTTGAAATGCTGTATAAAACAGGCATAGAAAAGGTATCCATAAGAAGACCGAAGAGAAACACGCCTCAAATAAATCATAAAAGTGAAGCAACAACCAGTGTTAGGCATAGATTTTTAACATAGAAACTATCGAATTCGAGGGCAAACAAAGTCTCTCTTCATCCCTCTTCCCTGCACTCTATTATGGTTTTGTTCAATGTTAAATCTCTGTTTACCAGTTGAAGGATCACTTAAATGCTCTGAAACTAGGCTTTGAGAATTCCATTTCTCGCATACTGAAACTGAAGAATTAATTCCACTTATTAAAGTATTTTTGAGTCCAATTCACTTTGTTTTCCAAAATAAATATTACCGCTGAATTGAAGGATTAGCTATCCTCAGTCCTATACTTGCTGACATTTACATTCACTATTTTGAAGTTAAATTATTTGAGAAACTATCTTTTCATCTCTGGATTTAACAAAGAAGACTTATCACATATTTTATCTACTATTAATTCGATTGATCCACCCATCCACTTCACATCTGAATTTGAATCTGACAACACTCTTCCCTTCCTTGATATTTTTATAAACCATAATGAATCTGATTTCAACATTACCATTTTCAGTAAACCTTTTTCTGTTTGTTTGCCTCCGTATGCTAAGTCGTGTTACCTGACTATACAAAAAATGGCTTCTTTTTATTATGTTTTCTTGCACTCTTAAAGTTTGTTCCTCTGAATATCTACTTGATAATGAATTCAATTATTTGAGAGCAGTTGCCATCGACAGAGGATTTTCTCCTGTAGTCATTGATAAAGCTTTTAAAAAGTTTTCCTCTTTCCATCCAAGCTGCTAGAATAATCCTGTGACTGCTCAATTTGTGGATTAAAATCGCTTAAAATTTTTTTTTTTTTTTTTTTTGCATATTTTAAATCTCTATGTATTAGAGAATTGAAATGTGCATTTTTTCTTTCTAGAAAATATATTTTTATCATGAGAAACTAAGCTGGCAGAAAACCCATTTAGAGTCACCCCTCCAAAAATTTAGAGTTAATTTCTATTATTATATAATATAAAAAAGTAAAATGTATAAAACTTCAGAAAATATAAAGCACTGAGGAAAAAAAGAACCTTAGCAATGTAGTTTAGTATGATAGAGTTCGAAACAGGATTCAAGGCTTTGCTCTCTGAGGAGCAGTTAGAAAAATTTAAATCACTGTCACTATCAAAACTGAAATCACTTTCAGAATCTAATAAATCATCAGGAATATATGCTCTGTCAATCGCTGTATGTTATCAAGCAGCCATTTCTGATTAGAAAAAGGCAGCATAGTGAAGTTAGAGTGGTAAATACCAAGTACTTTCAAATGCCGCAATTTAGAGGCCGATTAACAACATCTGTGGGTCAAAATCTAAATTAAATGTCTAATACTGTACATAATTTATTTCGCTCATTAAACGGTGAAAGCGTGGGATGTGCTCCTCAATAAAGGTATAAAAGCACATGCCGGCGAAAATTGTGGGATGAGCAAATTTTGCAATATTTGAATTCCCTGTGGAAATCGTGGGATGAGCAGCCAGAGGGGTAATAACCTATTTATGCTTCTCTTCCATTCTTCTGTAAATTACAAAATTCTAAGAATTCTCCAGAAATTCAATTTTCAAGTCATTTTTCTCATCTATCAATAAAATTTATGGTTCATTTCTTAAAGATACTGTGTATGACTTCAATTCTTGGGGAATTTATAGCATATCTTCTCAGTGTAGTTCAAGATATATCAGCCAAACCAAAAGAGCATTAAAATTTTGCATTAAGGAACATGAATCTTATATGTCTAAAAAAGGTGAAATTTACAAGTTTTCAGTTGCTAATCATAGTTGGAAATTTAATCAGAATTTCGACTCTACATCTGCAGAAGTTATCCAGAAAGTTTCTTCCACTGGAGAATTAGATTTTCTTGAAGCTTTTCACATTTACAAAAATTTACCATGTTTAGTTAATGATGTTAATGCAGTCCCACTTAATATTTTTAAATCTCTATTATTCTAGTTTTTCAATTTTTATTTCTATAAACAGATAACACTAGTCTTTCGTCTCCCTTAGGGTAAAAATATGTTCGTAACTTTATTTTTCAGTTGCAGATTTCTTTTCTCCTGATGAAGAGAAACTTTGTTTGCAGTTGTAATCGATAGAGTTTCTATGCTAAACATCTATGCTTAACACTTTCACTTTTATGAAGTATCCATAACAATTAAAATAGTATGCTTAAAAACTGCTTAAAAACTTATTTGTTTAAATAACTGCATGCTGGTAGTTTAATTAGGCTTTCCATATGGACATATTTCATGTTTCCTTCATGAGTAACTTAATGCATGTTAGTTTGCATTAGAAAATGAAATTGTGTTTTCCTAGATAGGAAGGTTTGTCAGATGTAGATATCAGAAAATTTAAAGGAATGTACTTTTTTTAAAATGGTTCTTTTAATTCAAGTATTTAACCCTTCAAGCAGCCAGGGGTTTGTCCAAAAGGGACTCCAAAGGAAAGTGACATTTTCTTGATTATAATTGCAGAATGATCCTCCTTTTTTGTATCTTAATTCCTTTTCTTGCAATGTATTGACTACCTTAATTGCCTTGATACTATATTTGTTAATAAAATTAATTTTACTCCATTTCAGTTTTCTCATTGTTATCAAATAATTCAATCAATAGCTTACTTTAATATTTCTGTCATATTTCTCACACTTATATAGAAATGAATATTGTTTTGCATAGGAAAATACATATATTGGACAGATTGGCAACGACGCTCTATTGAACGTGTTGATAAAGTGACAGGTGTGGTAAGAGAAATTCTCATAGAGCAACTTCCAGACCTTATGGGTTTAAAAGCTGTTGCTGTAAATGAAATACATGGTATGATTATTAATAACATTGTTTCTTTTAAATATTGAAAGTTGTTGATTTTAGAAGTTATTGAAGCATTTGAAATAATTCATATATATTTCAAAAGGTAATATCAGCCCTTGACCATTGATTAGTGATCTTGCTTATGAATTGTTTCATAGCTTAAAAGATGTATTAAATGAGAAAAATTGCTGTTATTAATTTTTTTCATTTGGGAACTTCATTCCATGGGTTATAAAAGTGATAAAATTTGCATTCATAATAACCAGAGTTAATATTAATAATACAAGAGTAAATTATTTTTGTACTAATTAATTATTTTATAAACACAATTCCATTACTATAACTATGATTTGTATATCATATATTGGGTCTCTGAGCTATAGAATTGTTCAAATTTGTAATTTTGTGTATATCATGTCAGTTTTTTGTGTAGTTTTAAACTATAGTTGTATCTATGTTCAGATTTATTTTAATTGATGATTATCTTTTTGTTATTTTTTTAAATTGTAATTTAAAATTAACTTTGTATTAATTATTTTAAAATGTATTTTAATTTTTTCCTCCTCCTGGATAAGATTAATTTAAAGCTTTAACATAGCCAAAAGTGAAGCACCACAATGTAACACAGGGTTCGTAGCGGTCCTTATAAGTGCTGCTTATATTTGAAAATAAAATATAAAGGCCCTTATAGGTGCTTACATTTCTAAAAGCCTTATTTTTTTTTTTTTTTTTTTTGTTTTTAGTGCTTTTTTTTTAAATGAATGCTAGGATGTCGATGGTGAGTCATACTCCGGAAATGCTTTTTCCCCTTTCTCTGCATTAACCGAACTTTGGTGTGCGCACGAAGATACAGACAGGTGCCGTCGTTCTATTGGTCAGAATTGCGAAGCGTAAAAATTCCGCTACTTCAGCATTCTTTCCTCCCACCAAATACTACACATTTGAATTTCTATCAAGATCTTAAAAATTGCATTCCGTCTGATGGTCAGTTCATATCGTGTTTAGTATGATCGTTATGCTATATTTAGCATAATTAAGTTATATAACATTGTTGCAACTGCTGAAAGTACAGTAAACTTACAAAATGTTGTGTTTTAACAGATTAGCTTTTAAGGAATAATATTCGGATGGTTAAATAAAGGGAAAGAAATCGAATAGTCAAAATAATTCTTTTTTGCAATACATTAACAATACAAGGTTGGAGGTCTCCCCTTCTCCTCAAAACTTGAATATTAACGTTACGGTCGCTGCAAAACAGGTAGGATCTTTTTTTTTTTTTTTTTGGGTCACTTCCAATCTGGATTGATAGGATTCAAATTTGTGGTCTACAACCCAACCGAAGAATGATTCTTATTCCGGAAATTTAACGCAGTCTGTTGAAAATTAGAATGAAAAACACCGCCTGGTAATGATTGGTAAGCCTCTTTCTTTTCCTTTTTTTAGTTCTTTATTCTCCCAATACCGGCAGTTGTTGAATTCCGATTGTGTAATATCACGTAGGGAAGAATTACAGCGCACGTATTGCGCAGAGTAACGTTTGCGATATTTTGCAGAAGATAATTAATTTTGATGTTTCAGTTCCGAGATTTGTTTATGAATACTTTAAAAGAGTTTTACTGTGCTTGCCAAAGCAGAATATTTTTCTAGTTCCATTGGTATATTTTTATATGATGCACATATTGAGATGTCAAAAACATTTATTTAGCGGAAAAATCTAAAGAGCGGCTACAATCTACTCCCCCTCCGCTCCTTCAAGTTACGCTCTACTGTCCGAATATTCGCCA